CGAGTGGTCACCGCCTGAGCTTCCCGAGTGGTCGCCACTGCCGCCTGAGCTTCCCGAGTGGTCGCCGCCGCCGTCTGAGCTTCCCGAGTGGTCGCCGCCTGAGCTTCCCGAGTGGCCGCCGTCGCCACCTGAGCTTCTCAAGTGTCCGCCGCCGCCTGAGCTTCCTGAACGGCCACAGCTCCTCGCCCTGTCGGCGCCATCCAGACTCCTCGTCCTGTCGGCGCCATCCAGACAGCTCACCCAGCCGGCGTCACCCAGACTCCTCGCCTCGCCGATCCCAGCCCAGCTCCTCGCCCTGCCGGCTCCCTACAAGACTCCAACCCTGCCAGCTCCTCGCAGTACTCCAGGTCCTTCGCTGCCACACGATCCAGGACCACTGCAGCTCCACTCTTCGGGTCTTCCGCAGCTCCAGTCTCCAGGCCCTCCGCAGCTCCACGCCCCAGGTACGCCCCAGCTGCATGGTCCTGGCCCTCCATCCCTCCCCTGTTCCGCCTCCGCTCCGCCTCCCGCCTGAACAGTAGTGGAGTGTCTGGAATCCACTCCTAGAGGGGGGGCTATGTCACAACCAGCGATCGCCTCCCAGAGGATCGCTGGTTCTCACATGAACTCTCAGGACTACATTTCCGCATTCCCCAGGACTTCACATTCATACATGCACTGCTCCCAAACACGCACGCCTGCTCACTCATGTATCCTGATTACAAGCACCAGCTGAACCTTGTTCACAGACTGATTTGATTCCCTTCATAAGCCACTCATTCACACTTCCAGTGGGCCGAGTCTTGTTTTCCTAGTAACATTACAACGCGTTTCCCTGTCTTGTTTCTCCGTGTTTCGATCTTAGCCTTGTATCCCAGTTATCCTGTTAAGCCGCCTGCCTTTTGACCTTCTGCCTGTTTATATCGACTACGATTCTGGACTGCCTGTATATACCTGTTTGCACCTGATGACCATTGCTTGCCTGACTATTGAATAAACTGCATAGTGGATCTTACCTCCTGTGGTCTCCTGTCACTCTACCCCAGTCCTGGTTACAGTATTTATATATATATGTATATATATGTATA